TTGGATTTTTTTTGAATAGTCCAAGAAGGACGGGTTAGCTCTTCCTTAAATGTTTTGTAAAATTCTTTTGTGAAACTGTCCAGTCTAGGGCTTTTGTGTGCCAGGAGTCTTTTTTATTACTGCTTCTATTTCACCAGCTGTTATCAGCCTGTTCAGGTTTTCTGCTTCTACTTCATTCAGTGTTAGAAGTTGATATTTTTCTGGAAATTTGCCCGTTTCATCCTGGTTTTCAAATTCCTTGGCATATAATTGTTCATAGTTATTTCTTGCAATCCTTTGTATTTCTGTGATATCAGTTGTAATTTCTCCTCTTTCATTTCTGTTATTATTTATTTGCATTCTCTTCCTTTTTTTCTTGAGGAGTCCACTTAAAGGCTTGTCGATTCTGTTCATCCTTTCAAAGAACCAGCTCCTGGATTGGTTGATCCTTTGAATTGTTCTTTTAGTCTCTGTGTCATTCACTTCTGCTCTGGTCTTGATTATTTCCTTCCTTCTACTCACTCTGGGCTTTGTTTGTTGGTGTTGCTCCAATTCTTGAAGATGTAGGGTTAGGTTGTTTGTTTGAAATGTTTCTCTCTTTTCAGGTAGGCCTATATTGCTATGAACTTCCCTCTCAGGACTGCCTCTGCTGTGTCCCATAGGTTTTGGACTGTTGTGTGTTCATTTTCATTTGTTTCCAGAAACTTTGATTTCTTCCTTGATGTCATTATTGACCCATTCATTGTTTAATAGCATGCTATTCAGTCTCCATGAGTTTGAATGTTTTTGAGTTTTTCCCTTGAGGTTGGTCTCTAGTTTCAAGCCCTTGTGGTCTGAGAAAATGCTTGTTATGGTTTCAATCTCCTTGAATTTATTGAGGCTTGTTTTCTGTGCTATCCTGTGGTCTCTGTTTGAAACTGTTCCATGTGCATTTGAAAAGAATGTGTACTTTGCTTCTTTGGGATGAACGGTTCTATATATATATATATAATATATATATATATAGTTCATTTGATCATATATATATATATATTATATATATATATTAAGTTCATTTGATCTAGTGCATTGTTCAGTTCCACAATATGCTTGTTGATATTTTCCTTGGAAGATCTATCCATTGTTGACAATGGGCTGTTAAAATCCTCTACTATCAGCGTGTTGCTGTCTGTATCTTTCTTGAAGTCCTCCAATATTTTCCTTATATATTTGGGTGCTCCTGTGTTGGGTGCATATGGATTTACAATGGTTATGTCTTCTTGATGGATTCTCCCCTTGAGTATTATGAAGTGTTCTTCTGTGTCTCCTTTTATGGCCTTTGTTTTGAAGTCTATTTTGTGTGATTTAGTATTGCTACCCCAGCTTTTTTTTTCCTGTCCATTTGCTTGGAATATTTTTCTAATAGTTTACTTTCAGTCTGTGTAGATCATTTATTCTGAGGTGGGTTTCTTGTAGGCAGCATATATGTGGGTCAATTTTCTTTACCATTCAGCTATCCTATGTCTTTTGATAGGAGCATTTAACCCATTTACATTTAATGTTATTATTGATAGGTGCTTCTTCATTTTTTTCCCTTTGTACTTGTGTTCCTCTCTCTCTCACTCTTTCTCTTCCTCTTCTTAAAGCAGTCCCTTTAGCATATATTGCAGTGTTGGTTTGGTTGAGGTGTATTGTTTTAGCATTCTTTTGTCTGGGAAACTCCTTTTTTCACTTTCCATGTTAATTGAGAGCCTTGCTGGGTAGAGTAGTCTGGGTTGCAGGCCTTTGCTTTTCATTACTTGGAACATTTCTTCCCTTTTCCTTCTGGCTTGTATTGTTTCCACTGAGAAGAGAACTTCTAGACTTATTGGGGCTCCCTTCTGTTACTTCCTGTTTGTCCCTTACTGCCTTGAAGATTCTCTCTTTGTCTTTGAAATTTGCCATTTTAATTACGATGTGTCTTGGAATGGGCTTCTTTGAGTTCATCTTGATTGGGACCCTCCGTGCTTCCTGGACTTATGTGATTTTTTTCTCTCTTCCAATTAGGGAAGTTTTCCATCATTACTTTTTCATACAGGTTTTCTATCCCTTGCTCATCTTCCTCTCCTTCTGGTGTCCCTATTATACAAATACTATTATGTTTCAGGTTGTCCTGCATTTCTCTAAATGCCTCTTCATTTTTTTTGTGTCTTTTTTCCTTTTCTTGCTCTTTCTGGGGATATTTTTCTACCTTGTCCCTCAGGTCTCTGATTCAATCCTCTGCATCATCTAGCCTGCTTTTGATTCCTTTTCCTGTGTTCTTCAATTCATAAATTGTATTCTTCATTTCCTATTGGCTCTTGTTGATAGCTTCTGTGTCCTTTTTCATGCTGATATAATTTGCGGCAAGTTCCTCATAGTTTCCCTGTAGTTTTCTGTAATTCTCACTGAGCTCAATGAGCTTCCTTATAACCATTGGTTTGAACTCAATATCTCGTAGTTTACTTGCTTCTATTTCATTTAGCACTCTTTCTGAGGATTCTCCCTTTCGTTTTGATTGGGGTTTTTTTCTTTGTCTCATTATTTGTGAGACTCCTCTTGTTTGTTCTTGCTTCTTAAATTGATCTGTTTTGACTCCCTGACTTTGTGGTGTGTACTTCTATAGTAGGAGACCTGTGTGATTCAGTGGTGCAGTCTCCTTGATCTCCTGAACCTGATGCTCTTCGGTGCCTTCTTTGCCATTTATATTGACTCTCTGGAAGTATTTGGGTGTTAATTGTTTACCTGTTGTTGGGTCGTTCTTTGGTGGGTCCTTCCCTCCGGCTGGTTGACTGAGGGTCACTCTGCTCATCAAGTCTTGTGTGTTTTTGTGCAGGTGCTGGAAACAAACCCACATCTGCAAAAATAACTCCCCCCTGCAATCCCATTATGAGCAGCAAATGATCCATATTAATAAGGCAGCCAGGTTGTGCTGAAGTTGATTCTTCTGTCTGTCCAAGGTTATAAGCTTCTTTCTCACTCTTGTTCAGTTGCTTGTTCAGGGTGATTCCTCCACAATTTGGTTGTAATTCCAACTTGTCCTTGCAGGAGATCAGTGTGACTTTGGTTTACCTCTCTGCCATCTTGCTTATCCCCTAACTACATGACCTCTTAACTGAAGAGATGCTGAATAAAAAGTTGGGTGTTACTGGGAAAGATAACCAGATAAAAATTTATTAGGATTTCATTTGTTAGGTGAATTCTCTAAGGAGTACAGTGTTTATCTTTAGTTATGCAGTTGCAGAAAATCTTTTTTTCAAGTGATCTCAAGTTAATCAGATTCTAAGATTTATTTTTCACTCAAGCTAACAAAGCTGAAGGAAAATTATTTACATAAATCACAATGCCTGCTTATTAACATATACTAAAAAATGGTTTTTCCTTTGTTATAGTCATCTTTTCAAAGGAGGGTGTCCTCTTCCATCAAATTTTGGTTCAGATGTCAAGAATAATGGTGCTGTACAGATGATTATGGGATAAGATAAAGTTTATTGCTCACATAATAAAGCTTTTAGGGGAGAGCAGGGGAGGCTTCTAATTAGATAAAAATGCCTTAAGAATAGAAGAAAAGTAGACTAGCTTGGTATTTTATTGGACTTATGGAGTGGGTCTAAGATGAGAGTTCTCTATATGTGAGCCAGTCCTCTGTGGCTGAATTTCCCTCAGGTGACAAAGAAAGTAGCACCCATGTTTTCTTTTTCTTTTATGGTAATTTATTGATTGATTGATTGATTGATTGATTGTTCAAATACATTTGTCTCCATTTACCTGCTACCACTTTCCCCTGCCCCATCCACCCCCACCTGCCCCCTCAATCCTTCCCCACCTTGGCTTCATCCATGTGTCCTTCATACCTGTTCCTTGATCTGACCCTTCCCCTTACTCTCCCTACTGCCCCTCTCCCTACCTCCCTCCCAGCCCTCTTGGTTTCTTCTTTCTTTCAATGTTGCTGGTCATATTTTCCTTTCCTGCCTACTTTGCTGGTAAGGTTCCACTTATAGGTGAGATATTTGTCTTTCACAGCCTGGCTTATTTCACTTAGCATAATGCTCTCCAGTTCCATCCATGTTGTTGTAAAGAGTAGTAGCTCTTTCTTTCTTTCTGCTGCATAGTATTCCATTGTGTAAATGTACCATAGTTTTTTGGTCAGCTTTCCATTCTTCTTCAGCTGCCTGTATACTTCCGTGAATGTCCAATTCCTTCACTTCTTAAAGTTATAAGCCACATAGTTGAAACAGGCTGCTTCTATCTGTTTCTATGAGAGACTGCTGCTCTGTCAAGCTCCCAAACTATGTATTGTGTCATTGGGACACAAAGAGAAAAATGTAGGAAAGGAAGAAACTTGAGGGGAAGACCAGAAAACAAAAAACAAACCTGCATACATATTACCCTCAAGTTCTTGGCCATCTCCTAAACTGTAGACGTACAGGATGAGACCTTTATAAACAGTCATGTAGTAACTAATTTTTAAATGGGCACAGCCTAGAGATGGACAGTATGGTATAAGTGTGAAACAATCAAGTGGGAGGACACCAGACACCTGGGCCTCAGACATTATACTAGTTTTGCAACCAGTTAAGTGTTAGGTTTAATAGATAATTTAACCACCATGTCCTTACTTCTCCTCTAAAAATGTTGATGATTTAGAGTTTTCTTTAGCTTTAAAATAACAGGATTTTGTAGTATAAAGGTAAAGCATTTGCTCTTCTGTTCTCTAAGAGGAGAAATTTTAAATGGGCAGATAAGTTTGTATAAAATTAAGTTACATGAAACCAGTATAGTTAGTATTTTAAAGTGGTGGTCATTTTGTCTTTAAGTTCAAGCAGAAATGGTTTGAAAATAATAATTTTTCCAATGAATTTTAATGGTCATCATATCTTGAACATTTAATTTACTGTGTAATTCAACTGGTTTTACATTGGAAAATTATTTTAATAATAATACTCAAATAAAATATTTGATATTTTCTTTAAAACTATTTTAGCCTTTATATTTATCTACCTATTTATTTATTTTTAATTTAGATGGGTCTAGGAAAGACAATCCAGGCAATTGCCATCGCTTACTTCTATAAGGAGGAGTGGCCTCTTTTAATAGTGGTCCCTTCATCTCTGAGGTACCCTTGGACAGAAGAAATAGAGAAATGGATCCCAGAGTTAAGTCCAGAAGAAATCAGTGTTATTCAGAATAAAACTGATGTTGGGTAAGAACAACTTTTTAATATTTATGGGGACAAAAGTGCCAAATATTGGTATATACCAAGTAAGTGTCTATATTAAGTAGATTTATCCAGGGCTTAAAATGTAGATGTCATTATGAAAAAGCAACAACAACAAAAAGCATGATTTCTCTGTTGTTACTGGCTATTTAGGAGCTCTTCCTTTTTTATTAGAGGGTAGAGAAGTGCAGAAGACTGACTCTGTCCTTTATTTTCTTTTTTTTTTTTGAATATAAAATTTATTGAGAGTGTTTTTCTGTAACACAAAGGAAAAAGAAAAAAAATCTGAAAACAATAATGACCATGATATCTTAATAATAGTAGCAACAACAGCAATAATAATAGTTCATGTTTACTGAGAGCACTATATGCCATTTTCAATGGTGATATAGAAAATGCAAAGTGACATGTTTTATTTTTATTGCTTTCATTTGTCTAATTATATAATTTTCCATACTAATTGGGATCATAGCCCTGTACACACAAAAATGAATAAGACACATCTCTTGCTCTCACCAATCTTACAATATACAGTGGAAATAAATATGTAAATGAATAGTTAAAGTACAGTATGATAAAGATGTATAAATTACAGAGATAGTTCCAAAGATCAGAGTCACTTTCACACAGCGTTTCTCTGCATGAGGTGAGACCCTGTGTTTTCCCCACGCTTCAGCATCGCAGGACCAGGGGCATTTTTGTTGTCATCAAGACAGAGACTCCACTGTTCATTAATGGGAGGGTCCAGGAATGTGAAATGCCCTGCGGGGTAACTGGACAGCCCTGCAATAAGTATTGTCCTGCTCAAAATTCCAATAGCACCTGGCTTAAAAAACTCTCCTATTCTCTTTGTGGGAAGGCTTTGTGGAATACTCAATGAATATTTCAGTATCCACTGTATTCATGATCATAAATGCATGGAAGCAAATGTTCTCAGAAAGTAATGTTCTTATCATAGTAAACTATGGCTTGCAGGATGTCCAAACCTTCCAAAGACCATTAATCAAAAAAATTGGAGTTAATTAGCCAAATTTTAAATTTTGGATTCTAGTTTATTATAGTTGAAGACTATAAAATCTTAAGCAAAATTGGGTTTCAGTAGTGGTACCATCTCTTATTCTTCTCTTTTTTTCTTTGTATTTCTTACCAAAAAGTTGTATTGTTTCTGATAAATGATTACTGAAATATTTTTAAAGTGCATGAATTTTCCTTTGTAGGAGAATATCAACCAGCAAAGTGACAGTTCTGGGTTATGGTCTGTTAACGACAGATGCAGAGGCTTTGATAGACACACTGAATAATCAAAACTTCAATGTAGTGATTGTGGATGAATCACACTACATGAAGTCCAGAAATGCAAGTCGCAGCAAGATTTTATTGCCAATAGTACAGAAAGCCAAACGAGCCATTCTTCTTACAGGAACTCCAGCTTTGGGAAGGCCTGAAGAGGTATTAAAATCCTTATACGTTGGGCTTAAACACACACACACACACACACACACACACACACACACACACACACACACACACACACAGAAAATTGAATAGATCGCCTGTTGCAAAATTTTAAATTAGATGCTTCACATGCCAGAAGAGTACTTTGGGAATTTCTAGATGGCTGTTAATGATTAAATATGTCTTTCACTATGACTTTTTATCTATTTACATGTGAACCTTAGCCATGCTTGTGAATACCTGCTTTTTTAAAAAGAGTTTTTCCTTTATTATAAGGTTTTCATATCAGGTATAAATTTGTAAATAACATTTGAGTTCTTCTGGTTGTTCTGTGGCCTTAATCTTCATTTTTTTTAGTCTGTTTACATTATAAACTCCTTAGGATTGGAGTTGAATCAACTTTTTATCTTTTATAACTATATATCTTTATATATATTTTATACTGTATTGAATAATCTTATTCTGTTTCTCTTTCACCTTAAGATCCACATTTGGGAAGGTAGAAAATTATGTGCAGACTGAATAAAACATCTACTTAGAATGATGGAATAAGGCATGTCATGCCCATTTAGCTTTTACTGCTCTGAGAGGCAGTTAGGGTATGGAGTGGTTAAAGGGCTGGGAAGAAGAAACAATGAGTGAAACTCTTATGAATCTGTAAGGGTCACTGTAACCCAGGAAAGTCCTGTCTATGAAAGCATTTACCTTAAACCCACCTGTTTCAATTTTAAAAACATATCCTACAAACCCATCTTGTAGAAAAGCAGATGGAGGAACAGATGATAAATAAATGTAAATGTAACTACATAAATATATATATATATATATGCACTATATATATTATACATAAATACTACATATTATATATAACTATTCCTACATATATTAATATATATGCATACACACATACAGACCTACATTAAGTTATTAATTTTTATAATTACATAAAAGCTAGAAACAGCCTATATAACCACTAATAAGAGACTGTTTAAGCATTTTACAGTACATCTACAAAATGAGTTCCTATGTATCCTTTAAACAGTGCTTTATTATTGTAATACATTATTTATATAATTTTTAAAACTAAAAATGAATGTATATGCGCTTTAATGATGTCTTAGTCATGTTTTTGGGACAAAATCTAGTTGTATAATATGGTCCTATGTATATGAATAAAATAGAATACATACATATATGTATATAGGCATAGAAAATACATAAATGTATATTTAAGAAGAAAGATAGCAGTTATCTCTGAAGAATAGGATAGAAGGAATGGGGAGATGCAGGAGAAGGAGGGACTTTGAGCAAGGAAAGTTAGATTTCCTTTTTGACTTTTTACTATTTTTTTAAACTGGATTTATCACTGTAATAATAATTTAGTAAGAATGTTACAACACATTGAGAACACTCCTGTTGTTACAGCTTTTTATGCAGATTGAAGCTCTCTTTCCACAAAAATTTGGAACTTGGACAGACTATGCCAAAAGATACTGTAACGCACATGTCAGGTATGATGAACCTACTTTCTATAAGCTTCAATCGTCACATATTTACTGTGAACATTAAGCTTTATTAGTCATTCCTTGTTCCACTGGTTTTCAGATTGTGGTAGCTCTGGATTAATTTCTTCAAGTAAACCTTTTGTAATGACCTATATATTAAGTAAATAGATAATGACAGTTTTTCTTTATTTTTATTTTTTACCTTCCACTTATTTTATTTTTGAAATGATTCATTTTTATTAATTAGATGAACATGCACATTGTAGAAAAGTGACAGACAACCATTTCCTTTTTGTTGGCAGTTTCTTGTGTATTTTCTGGAGATACTCTATGCATGAAAAATCATATACAATTATATATGTATAATAGTATTTAATTTTATTTCTACATATATATGTATATACACTGTTCTGCATATCCTTCCAATCAGTAACTGAAAGAGCTTTGGCATTCTTTATTAATTAAAAATAATTTTTTTCCTTGTTTAAATCATTTTACGTTTTTCAATTACAGTTGACTTAGAACATTTTATTAATTTCAAGTATACACCCCAGTGATTACACATTATATAACTTACTAAATGAACATCCTGATAAATGTTGTACCCATCTGACACCATACATAGTTGTTAGATTATTGACTATACTTCCTATAGTGTACTTTACATCCCTGTGACTATTCTATAACAACCAGTTTGTACTTCTTAATCCCTTCACCTTTTTTCACATATCCCCGCCTCATATCTAGCAACCATCAAAATGTACTCTGTATCTATGATTCTGTTTATGTTCTGCTCATCCCTTTATTTTGTTTTCTTAGATTCTATCATTGGTAGATATGTATTTATGGTCATTTTATTTTCATATTTTTTATCTTCTATTTTTTGATTGTATTTTAATTTATTTTTTCCATATTTTTTATCTTCTTCTTAAAGAAGACCCTTTAACATTTCATATAACACTAGTTTGGGGGTGATGAACTTCTTTAGCATTTTCTTGTCTTGGAAGCTCTTTATCTGTCCTTTATTCTAAATGATAGCTTTGCTGGGTAGCATAATCTTGGTTGTAGGTTCTTGCTTTTCATCACTTTGGATATTTTTTGCCAGTCCCTGCTGGCCAAAGTTTCTGGTGAGAAATCAGCTGACAGTCTCATGGGAGCTCTGTTGTAGGTAACTAACTGCTGTTCTCTTACTGCTTTTAAGATTCTCTCTTTGTTTTTAACCTTTTGTATATTAATTATGATGTGTCATGGTGTGGACCTCTTTGGGTTCATCTTGTTTGGGACTTACTGCACTTCCTGGACTTTTATGTCTATTTCCTTCACTAGGTTAGGGAAGTTTTTTGTAATTATATTTTCAAGTACATTTTCAATTTCTTTCTCTCTTCTTCTGGCATTCCCATGATACAGATGTTGATGTCTCTGAAGCTGCCCCAGAGACTCTACACCATCTTCACTTTTTTAGATTTTTTAAAATTTTTGCTGAGTGGGTGGGTTTTGTTTTGTATTGTTTTGTTGCTTCCTTTTATTCCAAATCATTGATTAGACTCTTGGCTTCATCTACTTTACTATTGGTTCCTTGTGAATTGTTCCTCATTTCAGTTAGTGTATCCTTCATTTCTGACTGGTTCTTTTTTATGGTTTCCATGTCCTTGTTTATGCTGACGAAGTTCTCACTAAGTTCATTGATCATTCTTATAACTAGTGTTTTGAACTCTGCATCTTGTAGATTACTTGTCTCCATTTTGTTTAGTTCTTTTTCTTGAGTTTTGTTTTCTTCTTTGATTTGGGACATGTTTCTTTGTCTCCTCATTTTGGCTGTCTCCCTGTGTTGGTTTCTGTGGAATTAAAGCTGCTATGTTTCCCAGACTTCGTAAAGTGACATTATATAGTAGGTTTCCTGTAGGTTCCAGTGGCATGGCCTCCCCATTCACCCAAGCCGGGAACTCCAGGTACAACCTGCCACCCTAGTGTGGACTATGTACACCCTCCTGTTGTAGTTGAGTTTTTATTGCTGTTGGCATCTCAATGAAGGGATTTGCCCCCAGGCTGAACAGCTGCAAGGACTGGCTGCAACCACTAACCACTGTGGAGGATCAGATGTGCAGGGATTGCACCACAGAGCAGGACTTACTTCAGCAGGTCTCTGGTGCTTATTGATTCTTCCCCTGAGTGTGTCACTTGTTGAGGTAGTTGGGTTGGGTAGTGCTTTGATGTGCTCTGAAGCCATCCACCAGGTGCAGTATCTCTGGGACCTTGCCGGAACTGCAGACCAAGGTCAGCCACCACCTATGTTCTGCCTGGGGCCACCTAGCATGAGCTACAAAGTGATCTGCAGATGGTTGCTACATGTGCTGGGCTTGGAGGGGCCCAGGAGAGGCCAGGCTGTGAACCAAGGCCAGCTACTGCTAGACTGAGGCCACTTAGTGGGAAATACTAGACACGCTGAGGCCAGACAGTGATCATTTGAAAGATTTTATGAAAGTCTGAAGCATGAGCCAAGATGGGCCATTTATATGGGATAGTCACTGGAAACAGCGTGGGTGGGCCCACAAGTTGGGTGATACGAGGTCACAGGGAATCACCGGGTTGGGGCGAATGGTGTGAGCCAGGTTGATGGAGCCTGCCTGCTGGCTTTGTTGTAGGAGAGCTCAGAAAAGGAACAGTGACTCTGGCAGCACTTTTGCGTGACAGAAAGCTTCCCCCTCTCTGACCTCTCGCCCTGATACCAGACAATTCTGTTCATCCCAGTAGGTACGTGGTACCTTTCAAGCTTCTGTTGAGCTCAGAGACAGTGAGTCAGAGTATGTCCATGCACAGGCCCTTTAAAAGGAACTGCCTGGGACTTTAGAATCCGTCTGCCTCACTTGCCCACAATCCCCACTGGGTTTCACAGCTAGAAGGTATGGGGACCTCTCTGGCACTGTAGCCCTGGGCTGCTGGGTCCTGGTGTGGTACTAGGACCCCTTGCTCTTCAGAGTGGACCTCCGCAGCTGTGATATCACACCCAATTTTTATCTGCCATGTGTGGGCATGGCACCAACTTGTCTGCATCTCCAGCCCTCCTACCAGTCTCAATGTAGCTTTTTCTTCAAATACCCAGTTGTAGGACTTCCATTCATCTAGGTTTCAGGTGGTTTTGAATGATGGTTGTTCTGTAGTTTAGTGGTAATTTAGATGCGGTTGTGGGAGGATGCAAGTACCCCATTTACCTACACTGCCATCTTGACCAGTAGTTGGCATTCCTTTTAAATGCTGAATGTGATCCAGTTTGGATGCATTGTAATTTATTTACCTAGCCTATTGCGAATAGGCATTTGTTTGTGGTATCTATCTGTAGCATACAATGCATCAATAAATATCCTTGCACATGGTGAAGGGTAGTATAGTGGCAAAGAACATGCAAGACAAGATGTACACCACCTGTGTTTTATTTTCACATCCAGCACTTACCAGATGTTTCATATTAGGGAAGTAACTTTACCTCCCCATACTTAGTTTCTTCAGCTCTAAAAACAGAGAATAATTATTTCTGCCTCCAAGAGTTATTACGAGACTGACATGAGTTAGTATTTATGAAGGCCTTGAACAGTGACTGGAAAACAGTGAGCACTCAATAATTCTTAGCTATTTTAATATTTCATATTACACAAAGGGATAAATCTGTAATATAAATTTATAGAAGTAGAAATTGCATTTTTATATTTTATATATTTCTACAAATTATTCTCCACCGAAGTTATATAAAGTGATATTCCCACCAGCAATAAGATTGTCTCCTTCCCCACACTTTGCCAACATGTTCTAATACAAATTATTTTATTCTTGTTAATGTGCTCTGATAGTAGTTTTAATACACATTTGTCTTATATTATTAAATGCAGTCATTTTTTCATACATGTAACAGTCATTTGTGCTTTCTTTCGGTTAATTGTTCATATTTCCTGCCCTTCATTCTACTAAACTTACCAGCTTTTTAAAAATTTATTTATTTTTCATTAATTTACTTTTTTTATTGTTCAAGTACAGTTGTCTCCATTTTCCTGCCACCACTTTCCCCTGTCCCACCCACGCCCACCTCCTACCCTCAATCCTTCACTTTGGCTTTGTCCATGTGTTCTTTACATGTTCCTTGACTTGACCCTTCCCCTTCTTTTCCCCATTACCCTTCTACCTCCTCCCTTAAGGTTACTGTTGGTTTTTCTTTTTTTCCTTTCAATGTTGCTGGTTATATTTTTCTTGCTTGTTTGTTTTGTTGATTAAGTTCCACTTATAGGTGAGATCAATGGTATTTGTCTTTCACTGCCTGGCATATTTCAGTTAGCATAATGCTTTCCAATTCCATCGATTCTGTCGTGAAGGGTAGGAGTTCCTTCTGTCTTTCTTCCCTATAGTATTCCATTGTGTAAATGTACCATAGCTTTTTGATCTATTCATATTTTGATGGGCACTTAGGTTGCTTCCAGCACTTGGCTATTGTAAATTGTGCTGCTATGAACATTGAGGTGCATAGGTTTTTTGAATTGGTGTTTCGGGATTCTTAGGGTATAATCCCAGCAGTGGAATTGCTGAGTCAAAAAAGAAGTTCTATTTTTAGCTTTCTGAGGAAATTTAAAACTGTTTTCTACAGTGCCTGCACCAGTCTGCATTCCCACCAACAGCGTACTACGTCCCCTTTTCTCCACGACTTCACCAGCACTTATTGTTTGTTGATTTGTTTATGATGGACATTCTGACCAGTGAGAAGTGGTATCTCATTGTGGTTTTACCTGATGGCTAGTGATGCTGAGCATCCTTTCATATATCTGGGCTCTCTGTATGTCCTCCTTGGAGAAAGGTCTGTTTGGGTCCTTTGCCCATTTTTTATTTAAATTGTTTGTCTTCCTGAAGTGGAATCGTGTGAGTTCTTTCTATATTTTGGAGATCAAACCCTTGTCCGAGGTATCATTGGCAAATATATTTTCCCATACAGTTGGTTCTCTTTTCATTTTGCTAATGTTTTCTTTAGC